CAAACATACAACACCAAATACACGCAAGATATAAAAAGTAAGATATAGTCATTTTAGAGAAATAAGATTAGTGATGCTGTTCTCCAGCTACTACATCTGGCAGGTCCAACTGCCTTTTCCACCCAGTATGTAATGTGGATTTTTTTTCCCTGACTGTTTTTCTTTCTTTGATATAATTCCTCTTTCAAGATTTCGCTACATGACTACATATGATCATTATATTATTCTGTGCAAAAAAGAAAGCACAGTTTTTTTGTGACTGTTAACAAGGAGAGCAGTTTATTGCAATGGTTGTTGGGCTCAACAATTGGTAATTAATGCAGCTGAAATACATTACTATTTTTTACTCATAATAAACTAAACTATGCAAATTATCAAAGTTGCTTGTTTTCTGTGTCAGAAAACATTCTGAAAGGAAATCTTTTCCATAGAAAAAGAGAATGACAGGGAAAATAAATGAAGTGTGTCTGCTTAGGAACAAGTATTTTATGCATAATTATTTCATACCTTGCAAATTAACTACATCATATGTGCCTGGGAATTACAGAAAACTGAAATAATGTACTAAGGGTATGTGGGAATTTACTATGCAATTATATTTCTTGTTGCATTTTATTTTTTTATAAGTTCTTGTAACATAAGAATCCAGGAAGGACACATCAGTGGTGGTATTCTTTGTCACTGTTTTGACATAGGTGTATTCCCCAGAAGTCAAATGCATATTCTGCGTATTTATCGTTTTTCTAGCATCATTGTATCATGCAAAAATATAGGTATGCAAACTATTAATAAGGTAATGATGCAGGAATGTAGGTGAAAATCCCCAGGAAGAGGCCAAAAAGGTCTCTTGGGCTTCTAACAAAGTGAAATAGAAAAAAGGAGGGGCTTCCAGAAAAGGTTCTGAAAGAGCAGGCAGAGAGTTAAGGGTGAGACTAGGAAACCATGCAACTCAGGTGAGGACAGAGCTTGTAGAGTCTTTAAGGACAAAACTGTTTTTTCTGTGCTCACCTGGGCTGTCTAGTCACTACCACAATACAACTAATAAGTAGTATTCAGAAACTACTTACAGAATACAAATGGAGCTATTAGTGTATCCTTCATAAAAAGTGGAGGACTAAATACTGTCACCTGAGAACAATACAGCAGCAGGATTTTAATATGAGATGCTTTAAAGAGAATCCTGGTGTTTCCTGTTACCTTTTGTAGGGAGCAAGTAAATAGAAATTTTTATTGCTGCGTGTATTGAACAATGCATGGACATTGGACATTTCAGTATATAGAAAGTCTGTTTATTAGTGTATACCAAGCTCCAAATTAATGCAGAATGTCCTCATATATATTCTACCTTCTGTTTTCACCTGTTAATTAAAAAAGAGAGAACTTTTTGTATTTTACTTTATGGTACATTATTTAAACTACTGTGGGAGAGCCTTGACTTGGTTTGAACCTTGTGGTAAAATTGCCCTATTTGGGGAAATTCTCACTTCAAAACTTACAAAAAAGCTTTTGAAACGCATGTCCTTTAAATAGAAAATAAGAAGCGAGATGAGATTACTCTTTAAACAAGTAGAACTCATATCTGCTGAAAGCGACTGAACACAGAGTATTTTAAATAAATCTTTTTCCCAACCTCTAGCTCCTTGACGAGTATGTCTTCTCCTTCAAGCTTTTGCTTGGCAGTTGATACCTTTCAGTAGCTGCGTTCTGTTCAGGCTTCTTTGCTCCATCATCCAGGCTTGGCAAGGGTTTACTCTCTGCCACACACACAAGACCCCTGCTCCACTCGGTCTACATGCCTGGAGATTGCTAGCTGGCTAGAAGTGCTCCTGGCTTCTCCAGTGCTGCAGACTGCTCATTTGCTGTCTGAGGGAGCAGTCGCCCTCCCGCAGAGGATTCCCCCTGCCCCAGGGTACGGGAGCAAGGACTAGACCGTTAGGCAGTCGCTTTTTGTCTGGTCCAACTTCAGCCTTTTAGCAAAATATACCCAAGGCAGAAAATGGAAACAAACCAGTTGTGGCATCCATTACAGCTATCCATTTCAAAGGAATTTGTGTCTTTCTAAACAGATATAATAAAGATGTAGACATAGGTGTAGGAATAAAGTTTGAAAAGAAGATTCTAAAAAGACTCCATGTAAGTGCTAGCCTTGTCTAAGCACTAGCGGTGGAGTTTTCTCATTGGTTTGCTTTCAGATCTGCGCAGATGAGGACGCTTACAGATGTTTAGGTCTGAAATCGATGACACAGATAATTAATTGTGTTTAGACTTAGCACTTATAAAAATGCTGCTGATGATAAACAGCTTTCCTGTGAGGGAGTATTATGTCAGTCCTATTTGCAGCATTTTTTGCAAAGGCTCTGTGTTGGTATTTCCATTACAAAACTCTCTCTTTGAATAAAAATTGACTCCAGGCTGAAACATGGAACATCTGATCTCAGCTCTTGATCAGAGGTTGTTTTTACCAGTTTTCCAGAAAATTGACTGAGCTGAGGTTTCTATGTTGTACAAAGGTTGAAAAAGGTGTGGAGGGGAGGAAGTGAGTGAGGGGAGCAGTAGGAATGTAGTTGATGCAGGTGGTTTGTATTTCAACTGCTTTTTTCTCTACCAGTAGGATCAAAATGGTGTGCTACTGGCATCGTCTGTAACCATTTGTGCTCTAGTGGAATTCATTACGGTTCCTTTTAGTGCATGAAATTCTGCACGTTGCCCCATCTATTAGAAAACATTTCAACAGTTACATAAATCTTTATCACAAGGCAATAGCAACTGAAAATTATAACAAAATAAAATATAAGATGATATACTGCATTATTTTTAAAATAATTTCTAGTTAAGAGGAGGCTAAAACCACCACCTTCAAATTATGGGGTGCTGAGGGGTTTTTTGTTGTTGTTTTTTCTTTTTTTAATTTCCTGTGCTGTTGTCCAAATTATATATATGGGTGTGGTTGTAATCAATCCTTTTGGAAGCACTGGGTCATTTTGAAAAAAAAAAATTTTTGAAAGGTCAGTAATGTGAAATAAGCTACCATTCTTATGTCTGCTCAGTTTGCATCTGACTAGAATTGAAAAGATGAGAAATGAATCCTGAGTCTCCATCTACTTCCTCAAAGATAGCAACAGCTTCACTGTTGTGAGGACTTTTGGCTAGTAAAGCCCCAGTCATCAGCTTTGCCTGCTATTTGGGGTTGGTAGAAGCTTGCATCTATGTACTTTTTGTTTTCTTGAGCTTATTTTTCTTGGCTGTTATGTCAACATATTGGCATATACATAGCTTTTCATTTTGTGGCTTTTGTTTTGCTTGCTTGTTTGCTTTAATGTTACACCTATTTTTCATCATTATATGCATTTTATATTATGTACTACATAATTATTTATTTCTTGCTGTGCTTGGCCAGAAGATGTCTCAGTTATGTTTGGAATGTGTCCATTACAAACAATCTCAGTCACTGTGATGTGCCTTGGAGCAGTTCATGGCATGCTTGTATGTTAGGTCTGCTTAAGCTGTCACCTTTCAGTCATCAGACCCTGCAGAGAATAAGTCAAGCTTTAGCTGGCCTACCCTGAAATAACCAGTAAATTCAGCTTGAAATCGCTGTAAAGAAACCTGAATGGTAGCCTTGAAGGCAACAAATTCAAGTGACATTTTTGCTGAATCTTCATTGTAACTGCTTATTTTGGTGTAAATCTTCCTGTATTGACAGCACTTGGAGAGCCTTGCAATGGGGCAGAAACATCTAGATTTAGTAGCAAAAGAACTCCAGTAAAGCTTTGTTTTTATCATTGGAAGATATAAATCTTAGGAGAAACAAATCTAAGAGCCTTAGGGGACTGTAGAAAGAAGTGAGTGAGAACAGCATTAGGGACTTGAACAACTTGGTTCTCCTCACAAATCAAAGCATAGCTCTCCCAGTAATTATCGTAGTCCCATTTTACTTTTGACTTTCAGAGGCTTACTAGAAAAGTAGACTCACTGAAGATTCAAATAATGCCAGGTCAAAGATTTGAATCTAGAGGTATACAGCAAAACTTTCGGAAGTACAGAGGCTTCTTTATTGTTCGCTTAGGAGAATTGTGGTGTTTACTTATGATACTAGTATTTCTATGCTGTGGAAAGTCTTGATTAATGTATGTAGATTCCCAAAACAGCTTTACTGAAGAGAAATTGAATCTTTGGGAGTGTTTTGACTGTTTTTCAATACAAAATGTGGATTAATCTAAATATAGGCTTTTAAGATATTTAAAATTTTAAAGCATGAGTTAAAGTGACATTTTGAATTTAAGTAAATCTGCCTGCTCCTCTACCCTCAGTGGTTTCAGGCAAACAAAATTTTGTTAGGAAGGATTTTCTGATAGAAGAACAGATTTTTAGTCATAATCAAAAAGGTAAAGCCACTGTACCCAATTACGTCAAATCTTTAAATGCTATATATGAATGTAGGAGTGGAACTTAATAATTAAGTGTAACTTAATAACTTACAGCATTCAAGAAATCTCATATTCCAGTTCAATATGAATAGTAATGGGTATGAGAAAAATCTGTAGGCAAGCTATGCAATGGTAGACAACTTAGTTGAAAATATGGTTTGTTAGTAGATGGAACAGGATTCTCAATATTCACCCACATTTGTAAACACATGAATAAGAAAATAGTTTTGGGAAGGAGCTATTTTAGGTACTGAACAAAGCTCTCAGGGGGCAGAAATCAAAGTCAGTGTTGTTTTTTACAGAGGAAGACCAAAGATAACTAAAGTCCCTTAGTTTCTAGGTTTATATACATTGCAAGTCACTCAGTACACTATTCAGAAACGTGCTGAACTCTTGTACTTTATTCCACAGAGAAAACAAGCTACTATGCTTAAAGACAAGTGTGCCCATATCCCTGTATTCTAGGGCATGATTTCTCTAGACTACTTCATAGAGCCTCTTGTATAACATACCATGCTTGCTTAATGTGCTGTTTCCTACCTTATAACATGAATTTTTGTTTTTCAGCTCTGAGGGACAACAGAATTGAGCTGGTCCGAGCTTCATGGCATGAACTGAGTATCAGTGTCAGTGATGTGTCTCTGTCAGATGAAGGGCAGTACACCTGCTCTTTATTTACTATGCCTGTCAAAACTTCCAAGGCTTTTCTTACCGTTCTCGGTAAGTATAAATAGCTGAGCGTAAAGAAGCAAGTGTTAAACTTCCCAGGCTTTGGCAAATTACGATAAGAATGAAATTTTCTAAAGCTTGGCAGAAGATACATGTAAATGTCTGATCTTGTTTCCCTGAAATTTATTGTTTCATATTGCTGTGCTGAAAAATAACATGCCTCTTACTATTTGCGCTGTGGCAGGGTAACGAATTAGGGAGCACACAAATACCACGGTATGAGTGCTCCATAAAATGGACATAACCTCTACATCCCAAGCACCAGAAGTGCAAGGAAGGTGCATGTGTTCATCTCCTAACAATGTATTGCATAGGGCAAAGGGGAGAAAATCAGAAAGCATGAAATCAAAATAGGCTTTAGAGCTTTATCGTTTTTCCTTAGCTGTGCATTTTCTTGACTCATTCTGCTTTCCTTTTTTGTCTGTAAAGTGCATATTTTCACTGGGTTTGGTGGTTCTTTTATGCTTTATCCTCTAAATGCTCTGCTGTTTTCCCCAAAGGTTATAGACACACATAGAAAAGCAATAGATTTTGAGAGGTGCCCAGGAAATAAAGTTTCTGCTCAAAGCTTTATACGATTCCATGAATGTCAGTAGCCCAATCAGCCAAAATTGCTATAGTTCATTGAAACACACCCGCATACCTAAGAGGTTATATGATTTTAGAGATTGATTTTTATTCTTTTCTCCTTTTTCTGTCCCTGAACTTGACTCTTTTTGTTTTATTTTTATATGTAGACAGGCAGACAGTTGAATTTAATAGGACTAATGTAAGATGTTCTCTGCGCTAGTAATAGCACTGTATTAATCCAGCCAGGGAATTGGTTTTGTGCATAGGATATGAAATATGTCTCCCTTTCAGTCCCTGTGAGACTATTTTACAAATATCTCCACAAGTTTGCCATTAAGGACAAAAAAATACCCTCTCAAAGCAGAATATTCTGAATAACAACTACCTATGGTTCATCTTCTTTTCTGTTGGAGAGGCTTCTCATGATCTAAACAGTAGATGAGTAGACCAGTTCAACCTTTTAAACAGCAGAAAGACATAGAAAGGTGTTGCAAAGACAGAAAAACATCTGGACACCATTTATTAACCAAAGTAACTCAATCTTTCACAGTCTTTTTAGTTTTACCTTCATTTTCGGGAAGGTTTTCATGAAATTTTCCCAACATCAGCTACTCAACCTTCCAAGAAAGCTGCAAGATTTAAGATGCCTGTCTTTTTTAATTTTGTGTTTGTAATTTCCTGTTTAAAAATAACACTTTAAACCCTTGGAACACTTTCTATCTGAGAAGGGGATATTTTCCATTTAAATGTATTACATCTTTTAATCAGATAAACTATCCTTTTATGTACTAATAATCTCTTTATTGACTGCTTTGTTATGGATTAGAAGATTAAGTGTCAAGGTATTACAGTAGACGCCATTTTCTGTCCTGAAAGAGAGGACTAGATTTATTACAGAAATGTACTAGTGATAGATACTGCTGCTTGGTTTTTATGTACATAATCTGTCATTTTGGAAAAGAGATGCAAACAAACCAAATTGTGAAATACAGGGCACAGAATCAATTACTGTGACTGATTCCTTTAGGCACAAATATGGATGTGTCAAACAGCTGCAGATTCAAGTCATAACAATGACATTTTCAGAGATTTTAAAATTATGGTCATCAGTATCACTTTAAAATAAGTTATTCTTGTGGTTTTGGAAGTCAGATGTATTTATACATGTAGTGATCAATTTTTTTGCAATTCTCTTAATTTTTATTTTTTTTAAATCTTCCATGGTCCATTGTAAAACAGCTCTTTCCAAATTTAATATTATGTGTATAGTATGTCATGATCATATGACCTCCTCCAAAGAACTTGGATTCAGCTGAAAAATTCTCCATAGCCAGTGGAATTGTGATTATACCTACTGTTTTTTTGGTTATGTGTTCTCTGAAGATAAAATAACTCCTGCATTTATTTTCATCATCCCTTTTCCCTGGATTTTGTATTAAAACCTTCATAATTCATGCGTAAATGTCTATTTTGAACTTAGATCTGTTCAGCTTTTTGTTGCCAATTATTTTATTTTCACACTATCTTATTTTCATACTTCTAATATACTTTGTCATACTGCTTGCTGTGTAGACCAGTTTAAACCTTGTAATAGCAAATCAGACTAGACCTGCATGCAAAATGGAAGTAGATAAGACAGTTTTTAAAATACAATCTGTTTCCCTTAGAAAACTAGAGAATTTCTGGGTTTTTTAATTCTTTAGAGTCAACTACAGTTCAGATTGACAGTTTATTTGCAATAGGAAATAGGATTCACTGACATTCAATTTTGATAGAAGGCAAGGAACTAATTATTCTGTTTCTGGAATTCAGAGCATACGAAGAAGTGAACTTTAAGTTGGTCACATATTCATGGCAGTAGCTGACACTATCAGAGACATTTTTCTTGTTTGCTTGTTAGGTGTTCCTGAGAAGCCACAAATTACTGGATTTACCTCACCAGTTATGGAGGGAGAGAGGATGCAGCTAACTTGCAAGACATCTGGTAGTAAACCAGCAGCTGATATCAGATGGTTCAAGAACGACAAAGAAGTTAAAGGTATTTAAAAGGACTTTCATGTAATTTGTTCCAATTGTCAAAGCTATACATTATTTACAATTACATTTTTTAATTCATGTTTGTAAAGTTTCTCATATTTAATCATTAAATGAATGAGTGATAGTACATAGATAATGAATTGAATGTAAATTACTGGAGTGGTCATATAACCACCTTTTTTTTTTTTTTCAAATGATAAAAACTGATGTTTTGAATTGCTCTGCAATCTGTTCAGCATAATAAACTCAATTGTAATGCTTCATAGAGAAACATTTTATGAATTATTCTTATCACAGCCCACACACTCACCTGAGATATTTTACCTTTTTGTTTCTTTTTGCCTTTCTAAAATGACATGTCTGATGTAGTGAATTGCCAGTTTTATGTTTCACTTCTCTAAGTGAAGTGACCACCTGAGGCAGAACTGTCTGGAGGAGACAAGAGACTGCACTTTCTGTAGGGGAGCTGCAGAGCCTGCTCTGGTGAGGGAAGAGTCAGAGTGTAGCAGTTGAGGCAATCATCTCAGTTGGGAAACTGGGAACCTGCAACTGAGGAAAGGATGTTGAGAGTTTGCGGTGAGGAGCAGGGAGAAGATAGATTTAAAGGGAATGAAGAGAACTTCACAGGGACTGGGGGGAGCTGGACAAAGTCTGCTGTAACTGAAAAGTCATTGGGTAACTAAAACCAAAGCTGAAAGCAAGGATTTGCCTTTGAGGATGCGGTGAGATAAGAAAGTGTTGCATATATAAGCTATTTATTTATTTTCTGTCTTCTCTTTAACTTTGTATGTTCTTTACTTAAAACTTAGTTTTGTAGTCCATATTCTCATAAATGCTGGGATAGTTTAAAAAACTTTTTGGTGAATGGGTGGAGAGAGCTTCCTGTAACAGAAGGCTTAGTCACATTTACCACAGCCAACTGAGGTGCCCACTATAGAGTAGATTAATAAAAAGGATAAAATACTGTTATTTATTCATGTCACCTCTATTTATTCTGCTATTAAACCAGATCAAAATCCACATATTCTGTGTAGCTTTCTTAAAAAAAAAAAAAAAAAACAACCAAATTTTATTTGCTTTGCTTCATATTTTTCTGACATTGTGGATTTTGTTAGCTCAATAAACTGCCTCAAGCAAAGTTACAGCTTTAGTTAGAGAATCCATTAATCTTCTTTTACTATTCTCTACCACAGTTCAATGTACACTACCAGAGCTGTGATATAAAATTGGTAAGTAAAGGAGATTGCAATTGATTGTCCAAGGAACCCAGTCCATTCTAGAAGTGTCTTTAGATTTCTGATGAAAATCAGAATAGTGTTGAAGGAGGCAGGAATTAATTTTAGGCTGGAATCATATGAAATGTCTTTGAGCACTTGTAACTAGTATAGAAAATGAAGAAACAGAGAAACATTCTTTCCAGCCACTGGGAAATTTGAGGAAATGGCTGAAAGAAAAGCAGCACCTCATCAAATCTAATTAAATAGAAGAATTTAACAGCACAGCTAACACACATGGCACAGCATAGATTCTGTCATCTAGAAAAGATGACAGGATGAATATATATATTCAAGACATGTAGAGATTGAAAAACATCCTAAGCAATGTCAATACTTGAGAAAACTACTGATACAGTTGGCCTAACAGCAAGGCAATACCTCTGAAAAGATGTTATTTTTAAAAATATATTTTAAAATCAGGTATAATAACTTTGCCTTTCTTTCAGCTGAGAGGTAATTGAAGCCAAGCAAGCAGTTTGGTGATTTGACTCTAATTTGCTCAACCGTTTCTAAAAGAATGTTTATTTTAAAAGGCGGTAAGGAAGGAACAAAGAAGATGTCTGAAAAAGAACAGTAAAGAAAAAAAACAAAACAAAACAGAAATGGGAGGAAAGTACTGGGCACATTCATTTCAGTTTAGTTTTCTAGGTCTTCTGAAGAGCACATTGCCATTTCACAAAGGTTAGAAATAAAATAACCTGACCAGTTTGCAGTGGCATCAGCAGAAGTTACATTAGCTTTGTGCACTGTAAAAGGTGAAATGATAAATCTGAGAAAATAGATATGAAATTATATGCTAATGCAGCTGACATTAAAGGTTAGGAGTTTGTCTGTCTAGCACCAGTAAATCCAATTGTGTTACAGCGTATTATACGTGATGCAAAAGAATATAAATGATGCATTGAGTTCAGAGTTGCACCAAAGGGGAAAAAGCCATTCTAAAATTGTAGCTCCATTGCTATTACTCAAAAAAGGAATCATCATCTGGTAAAGGAATACTGTTTGACAGAGTAAATGTTAGTAATGAAAGAGACTGAATGTGAAGTACTGAGTACCATACCTTTTACTTTAGTGTTCTGTCTCTCATATACGCACCAAATTAACAGAGAGATCTGCAGTTTAGCATTCTGTTGACATTTCTGCAAGATTATTAAAAGCAAAAGTATCAGAGAAGCTAAATACATAATTTTCGTTAAAAAATTACTTTTTTTCAGCAAAACTTGTTACATGCTATTTCAACAATATAATGTAAAAATTGTTTGCAGAATTCAGGGATTTTTTAATGTATTTTTTTTTCCTAGCAAAACTGGAATTAAAAAATATATAAGACAGTATCAGTTTATTTTGTTGCAACAGATTAAAACATTTTGAATTAGTTTATATATTTTTAGTATACACAAAGAATTCAGAGAGGCAGTGATCATTTTGTCTTGATAAACCTCTAAAACAAGGATAATTTTTTTTAGATAACAAGGCCATTTTATGTCAGAACTTGATTTGAAATGGAAACAAAAATTATATTTGCCTTGTAAAAACAGCAAAACTGTCTTTTTAAAAGAGGAGCATTTCTATATGGATGTTACAAGTATGTGCTTTTTTAAATAATTGACAATGAACAATGGATGGTAGACATTCTATCATTTCTACTTATTACTTTCACTATGGAAGATCTATACTTACGGGATATAAATCAGTATTATTTAATACAATCATATCTGTATGTGCACCTATCTGATAGACTTATCGCAGTGGGCCCATAGTTGACCCTTAGATTTCATATGGCCCAACCTGTGTTCAAAGGTTAGCTCAACATTGCTAAAGGTCTTCTCCAATTCAGTTTTGAAAAATCTCCAGGGATGGAGATTCCATAGTCTGTTTGGGCTAGATGCTTCAGTATTTGAAAGCCCTTATTGTGGTGAGTTTTCACTGTATGCAGATATATCATGTTACATAATCAGAATTTGCCTTAGTGTAACTTGTGTTTGTTGCCCCTCAACTTTTGCTGTACACCTCTGAGAGGACACTGGGTTTTTCTTCTCTATGGCCATGTATTAGGTACTTGAAGGCAGCAGTCTGATCTGGTTTTAGTCCTCTCTTCCTCAGGTTGAACAAACCCAACTATCTTAAGCTCTCCTTGTACATTGTATGTTCCCGCCACTGACCATCTCTGTGGCTTTCAGCTCAACCTGCTCAGGTTTCTCAACACCTTTCTTGCACCAGAAATCCCAAAACTGGGCCTGGTACTACTTTAGATGCAGCCACGCAAGTGCGGAATAGAGGAGAAGAATCACTTCCCATGACTTGCTGGGTATGCTATTACTAGTGAAGGGGAGTAATTTTCTAGCTTCCAACCCTGTAAAGACACACCGCTGACTAATGTTTAACCTGTCCTCAAGACTCCCAGTTCCTCCTCTAAAAAGCTACTTTCTATCTAGTCATCACCCAACCTGTTTCATTATAGTGATTTCCAGAGAAAGTGCCTCTGTAATGGATCTTCTTTTTTTTTCTTTGTCTTTTTTCAAGGGGGTATTTAGGAGAGAGAAGAGTAGCAAGAAAATAAATGAAATAATGGGCTACAGTAGATATATTTTTAAATTCTGTAAAATTCCTGGCTAAATATTTTGAATGCTAGCATATGGTAACGTACCCAGTACCTGATCTCCACTGCTCTTACATCCAGGTGGGCTTACATTCAGTTTGCATATATTACAATCATACCTTCATTTTGCAGTGAAGACACACCTAAGAAGATACAGCTGATATAGTGGACAAGATAAGTATTTCTGTTGATGAGGATGTCAACAGTTTATAGAATAGTATCACCATCCTTTTTACAGAGGTAATTAACACTAAGAGTTGAACTCTTCCAAACAATAGATGACTAGAGAAAGGCTTCTGAACATCCGTTTAGGAAATTAACTGCTTTTGTTTTCCTAAAGGATTAAGCATCCACAACCTTTTACTGAAATTAAAGTTGTTGATGTTTTCAGGAGCTGTCTGTCCTCCATCTGAAGTCAGCAAGTGAAGGGATGTGTACATTACTTATAAGCAGAAGGCTATCTATGAAGGTGCTTATTATTAAATTTGGAAACCCAACTCTGGGAACAAAATCTCATGTGTTTGCTTTAAATATTAGTGAAGACATTTGTTGTTTGATTATAATAACTTCGCTTTAGCCCTGGTCAATATTTCTGTCACCTACTGATCCCAAATATTAATAATCACCACGGTTGAAATTGAAATCTCTTAAAGCTTAGAGATTTATGAAAATGCTTGTATGCAAGAAATAATTATTTCTTAGGGAAAAATGGAAATCCTATAACTATGTGGTGTCTTCATCTATCTGGAGACAATGAAAAGGACTACCTTTTGTGATTTCAGAGGTGTTTTTAATCTGAAAAGATGTAGCTTAAGCCATTTAAGATTTGCTTTCTAAAATTGATATTTTATGGAAATTTTATTTAGGTCATCTTCTTCTCTAGTGGGATTTATTATAATTTGTAAAACTGAAACCTCTCACTTTTTTTAGGACACAGAAGACATATGCAATCTCAGTGAAATTTAATACATGTGTTTATGTATTTATATATCTCTTTTAAAGCTTTCATTGTAACAAATCAATATAACGAGTATACTATTTTGCTGAAATAAATTAAAATCAATAAATATTACAGGTAGTTGGGAAACAAGTAGAACAGTTCTAAAGTATGTGTAAAGAAGATCTCATATTGCAGTTAATACATTAAAACTTTTAAAAATAAATGCTCAGTCTTTTGCATCTTCAGTTCCGATCTAACGTGTATGTCCTACAACAAAACTTTCTGAATTTTAACCTTAACCTTGAGATGAGTTGAATACTTCTTAAGGGTAGCTGTAGGCTTCCTGCACTCTGATATCTGGGCTGAAAACTGTCAAAGAGATTTTTAATTCAATCTGCACAAAAGCAGTAGGTCAATTTAGCATGATATAAAGCAATGAATGTCTCTCTGAAATAATTTTATTTCCTGTCTTCTTGGGACTTGTCTGTAGATTCCAATAAATACTATGACATGCTCTATTTACAGTTGTTCATCACCACTGATAGCTATACTTTGGTTTAGTTTAATTCTTATTTTAGCATAATTCTAACCAAACAACAGAATAAGCAATGAGTAAAGTAAGCACAGGATTAATGTGACTACGTGCATGCAACCATTAGTTCACATGGCTTCAGTAATACCCATGTAGTGCATTAGTATGAAAGATTTTAAGCATGGACTTAGAAGATTTAATGTTTAGTGACACTGTGTATACTTAGGGAAATGAGGGTGGGAGGAGACCAAATTTTTTCTAATGAACTGCAGAGAAAGTTTATAACAAATTTGGACCTAAATATATAAGAGATTACGATGAAAGGAATTTTCATTTGAGTGCAGTACCATGTAACCAGTTTTAAAATTTTCTTTGTCAATATATACCTCCTGCTTTGACAATCAGAGCAAATTGAGGAATAACTAGTCTAATTACTTTTGTGTTAAATAGATCAATACAGACACGAAAGATGTGTTTTTTCAACAAGTGTCATAGATAATTTAGCTGTCTAATGGTGGACTACTTTTCCTAAAAATATTGGAGAGAAAACTGTTTGTTTCTTCTTTCTTTCAGATGTTAAATATTTAAAAGAAGAAGATGCAAATCGTAAAACATTCACAGTCAGCAGCACGCTGGATTTCCTAGCAGATCGCAATGATGATGGTGCAGTTGTAAGCTGCAGAGTAGATCATGAGTCCCTAAACTCCACACCTCAGATAGCAATGCAGGTTCTAGAAATACACTGTAAGTAATACACATTATATGTGCTTGTTTTTCTAGTTTTGATTTGTTTCAGAGTTTCTGTTGTGGGAAAATTGTAAAAATCTCTGATGTTCTGTGGGTAGATAACATCTTTCTTTTAGCCAACTCCTCTGGTTTGTATTTGGTTCGTTGGGGTTTTGTTTGTTTGTTTTTTACAGGAGTACCAAAAAAGTTTAATGAGAGTTTTACCAGTGGAAACACTATGGGACTGAGTTCCTGGTTTGCTTTGAGAAATGGTAGAGAGGAAATGCATTTGTCTTTTTTGATTATCATTGTAGCAATGTGAAAGAGTTCTTAAAAATCAAGGTCATAGTAGTTCACAATTTTCCTTGAAAATGTCTAGAAACTTGAAACAAGGGTATAAAGGAGCAAAGTTTGCACCAGACTGCCTCAATAACTTTGAATCCTGATAATTCAACTCTGTCTGATACTGTTAATAACATGAATCCAGGAGGAAAATCCCTTTAAAATTTATTTTTAGGCCTTGTCTATACAGGATGTTACTCTAGATAATCCAAACTTCAGTTAGTTGTATCTGTATATATTGGCTTATTTTTTCAAACAGGATTTCTGGAAATCTGATGTTTTCCACAGTGCATCGTTTCAAAGTTGAATGAACCTGCCTATGTATCTGTGCACCCTACTCTGAAGTCATGTTGTCAGAGTCTCTGAGTCAGGTTTTTTTTCACTTATAAAATGTGAGACACTCAGGAGAACCCCTTTTCACCATCAGATGACATTGTCATATTCACTTGCATTATACCCACCATTCTTCAGGGTACAGCTATCTGGATTTCTGCAGAGCACCTGTACTTTTGATTGCCAGCTAGCAAAAACAGGCATGTGTAAAATATTGTCAGACCAGCTGAAGGGGAGATATCTTTTATGAATCTGTTTCTAGGGTAGATGTAATCAACCTGTTCTAAAGCAGACAAGACAAGCTTGTCCATAAAGCAGACAAGCTTCCAGTAACTGCAGGCTAGTTCCTGAGGTACCATGTCAAGGACTGCTGGCATGTGTAACTTGTTTCTAAACAGGGATATTTCTAAAAGCATCTAAGACTGGTAGCACATGTAAAATACAGTAATGGCAAAACCACTCCACACATAGCTGACAGCATTTCTAAAAATGCCATCTGCAAAAACCCCTGAAAATTAGAAGGATGTGGATTAGCATCGACAAGTAATAGGTACCAAAAATATCTTCTGAAACATTCTACCCATCATTTTACGGAGGGACATCAAAGCCTTTCTTTACCAAATGGCTATTAAACACCTGCTTCCCCTAACATATTCAAATGGCATCTTTACTAGAGACATGAATCCTTAACAGCTTTTATTTCCTTGAATTCTAAATCCCACAACCATCAGCCACTGAGCTGGCCCATGCCTTCACTTCCAAATTGCTTGCTTTTATGTCAGTGCCCTGCTCAAGATGTTGGCACTGCAGGAGATGAACCAAATTGAATGGAACAATAGGTACAGAAACAGGACAGGTATACGAGGTTTAAACTGAGTCACAGTGGCTGCAATGTAATGTGATTCAAGGTAAGGACAGAGTTCTGGTTTGTGTGAGCATCATAATATCACAAGGCAAAGAAGCCTTTCTGTGGCCTTTTGTATATAAAGGCCTTCCTGAATATTTGTTGTTTCCTTCTATTTTGCACCTTAGGCAGCAGGACACTACCTAGCTAAATAGCAGTGGGGTGCATCTTCCTGTATGCCTGTTGCTTCATGTTTTGAACAAGACCCTTGTCTCTCTTCTGCAGGTCGGTGAAGTTCTCTAACAAGGACAAACTGCAATAGGCGTTTACCATTACTAATGTGCTTTATGTTACTGCCCCTTCAGACTGCCAACTTATCAAAAGCCACAATGCACAAGTAATTACTCTCTATCATACCTGCTTGCTCCATTAATTTTCCACCAATCACTTTAATGCTCTCCAGCATTAGTATAGAGTCATTATACATGGAAAGATAAGTGAGAAATGTGCCAAAAGAAGCTCAAGTTTGGAAGAGAGGGTGGAAATACCATTTAAAACCATAGAGAAAGCAGTATTTTATTACTGGTGACAAGGAGACTAAGAACAGGCTATTGATATCCTTTTCTTTACCACCTACATCTCCATGGTCAACATATTCAGAAATCTTATGCTGGGCAGGTTTATCAAAGGTAGTTTATAAAAAGAGGAGATTCTAAATGGGAGAGATATGGATTTGATGGGTGGACTGTTTGGTGGATGAGGAATTGGTTGGATGGTTGCATCCAGAGAGTAGTGGTCAATGGCTTAATGTCCAAATGGAGATCAGTGATGAGCAGTATCCCTCAGGAGTCTGTACTGGGACCAGTACTCTTTAATCACTTTCACCAGTGATCTAGACAGTGGGATCAAGTGCGCCCTCAGCAAGTTTGCAGATGACACCAAGCTGAGTGGTGCGGTTGTGTTGCCTGAGGGACGGGATGCCATCCAGAGGGATCTGGACAAGCTCGAGGAATGGGCCCATGTGAACCTCATGAGGTTCAACAAGGCGAAGTACAGGGTCCTGCACCTGGGTTGGGGCAACCCCCGGTATCAGTAAAGGCTGGGGCATAAAGGAATCAAGAGCAGCCCTGCTGAGAAGGAGTAGAGGGTACTGGTGGATCAAAAGCTGGAAGTGAGCCGGCAATGTGCGCTCGCAGCCCAGAAGGGCAAGCGTAACCTGGGCTGCATCCAAAGCAGCATGGCCAGCAGGTTGAGGATGGGGATTCTGCCCCTCTACTCTGCTCTGGTGAGACCCCACCTGCAGTCCTGCATCTAGCTCTGGAGCCCTCAGCACAGGAAAGACATGGACCTGTTGGAGCAGGTCCAGAGGAGGGTCACAAAAATACTCAGAGGGATGGAACACCTCTCCTGTGAG